GGGGGCGTACTAACTGTGCTCAGTTGCACGGCATGGGGTCCAGGGACACCTGCCTCACCCATGGGCATTGCCCGCCTCCAAGCCGCAGCCCTTAGCTCTGACATCGACGCCGAGGCATGGTCACCTCCACTGCGCAAGAGGAAAGGATCGTGCTTCGGCCTTGGCTACACAAGCCAGTTGCAACCTTAACCGGGGGATTTGTTGTACAAGCCTCCTTCAGCTGGGTGGGTCCTCTGCGCCTACTCCTGTTTTGTTTCGTTTCGTTTCGTTTCGTTTTGTTTTGTTTTGTTTTGTTTTGTTTTGTTTTGTTTTGTTTCGGACAGAGTCTCGTTATGAAGCTTAAGCTGGCCTCGAACTCATAGCGATCTTCCTGTCTCAGCCTCCTGACTAATGATATTACACGTGTGTGCCATGTGCCTAAGTGACTGTTTCTGAGCTTTTGTCCAACAAATGAACCTCCAACTGTACCGCTGGAAACACTCTGTGCTCCAGCTGCCTGGCTCGGCTAACATTGCTCACCGGCAGCCCGACAAGCCCCAGCGCCTACCATCGGGGAAGCGGTTTCAGACTCAGCCACTCCTGGGCCTCTCCAAACCCCTGAGCTGATCCGGGACCTTGGATAGGAGGATCGTGGCTGGCATTCTTTTTTTATTTTTTGGACTAGGGATTGGACTCAGAGCCTTTACACTGAACTACATAACCAGCACTTGGTTATATTTGTACTTTGAGAAAAGGTTTTGTTAGGCCACTATGTTACTGTTAAATTGGGGATTCTCCTGCCTCAGCCTCCTGGAGCACTGGGATTACAGGTGTGTGTCACCACCCTGACCCTAAGATCTACTTACCCTTGGTGTTTCCTCCAGCCTCCAACCCAGCGTATTGCTTGTGGCAGGATGTAAGAAATACTAAATTTAGCACTTTCAATATAGGGCCAATATTGAAATATAGGGCCCAATATTGACCCCTACTCCCGTTACCTGGAAGCTTTGGCTAAGCCCCAGTGCCTCCTGGACCGGGGTACCACTGCCGGCCGCAAGGGGGCGCGCACTCCCCAGAGCTGCCCAGGAAGGGACCCACGTTGGTGCCGGAAGCTGGGTCCCAAAAGGGACTTGTGGCAGGGTGGGCTGCGCGTTCCTTAGGAGACAACCCCCCACCACCACCAGCACGTTTGGGGTGTGCTTGTCCCAGCCCTTTTCATTCTTTTTTACTTTCAAACTGGGTCGCGCAGTGTAGCCCAGTCAGGCCTCAAATTTGTGACCCTCCCGTCTCAGCCTCCCAAGTGCTGGGATCCCAGGCCTGCGCCACCATCCACATAGCCCAGTCAGACCGGGTATCTGCGGTGTGAGTTTCTTCAGATTACGCTTCTTTTCAGGTGACTACTTTTGTGGGAGCTCACTTTCCGCATACGTGATCAAAACATATCTGTGTTAAGTGCTCTTGAGTGAATTAAAAATAACTTTGCATAGATTTCTAGTGTCGATCCGTGCAGAACTGGAAATCTGGGCGACTCCCCCCTTGTGTTTGTATCCGAGGGAGAGCAAGAATGAATCCACCTTCACGTTTTCCAAAGCATGAGCAGAAAAATAAGTGAACTTTCAGATCTGATTTCTGGCGCTTACAAAAGAAAAGAATTTAAACATTGGGAAGGTTTATTTATAGGGACCTTTTGCTTTCATTTTGTCATTAATTCCCCGGTCTCCCTGGAGCCCCAGGTAAGAGCGCTCAGTCAGGTATGAAGGCAGAAATAAGTTACTAAACACTGTGGGAGGTTAATATTAACTCCCCTTCCCTTCAGGGGAAAACCCTGTCGTCTCCATTAATTGGTGAAACCAGCCGGGTGAGGTGGTTCTTGCCTGGAGTTCCAGCTACTTGAGAGGCTGAGGCAGGAAAATCCCTTAAGCCCAAGAGTTGGAGACCAGCTTGGTCTATATGGGGTGGGCGTCACCCCACAGATGCTGTCCCTCTCTCATGCTGTGTTTTTGACTTCCTCTCCCTGTGGCCCTTGGAGTAGCGGCGCAGCTGGGAGCTCAGAGTGAGGCCCAGGCTGAGGGAGGGTGCTACTCTAACTGGTCCCAAGCTGGGATGACGCATGGTGACATGGAAGGACTGTCGTGGGACAGTAGACAGGACTGTGGACAGGATGACTGAAAAATACCAGTTCTGGATGAGATGGTACACTTGGGAGGCTGAGGCAGCAGGATCTCTGTGAGTGTGAGGCCGGCCTGGGCTCCATAGTGAGTTCAAGGCCAGCCTGAACTACACATCAAGACCCTGCCCCCCCTCTAAATCCCTATTTCTCCTACGAGGTCTGAGAATAAAGTAGTTAATTAGCTGAAAAAGACAGAGGGCCCTGCAAAGACAGGTGAAATATTAAGGCCTCTCAGCCCTTTCACGTGCCACGCATTAACCTGTCCCTCACCCCCCGCAGGGATTACTCATTAATGGGAAGCCACTTGGTCCCCTGGGGCCTGCAGGACAGAGGGCTCCCCAGGGGACACTGTTTGGCATGAGGGCAACGTGGACGCAGCGCAGGCTCCCGGCTGGCCTGGGCGGAGCTGGTGGGCATCTGGGCGGGATCCAAACCTGAGTGGGCCTGGCTCTGGTGACTGCACATCACCCCCACCGTCCCAGACCAGTGCGGGACCCAGGGAAGAGACGCCTGCGCCCTGCGAGGGGAGCTGCTACCCAGGTCCATTTCCTCTTCCTGAGAATCTAATAACACCCCACAACTGGCAACCCCTCCCAGAATGTGACAGGAATGAAGTCATTTGGGTGATTGTCTCTGCCTCTTGAAACTCTTCTATCCTTTTCGTCTGTTTTTTTTCTTAAATTTTAATTTTTACCCTGGCATGGTGGCGCACAGCTGTAATCTAAGGACTTGGAAGGCTGAGGCAGGAGGATCCCTATGAGTTCAAGGCCTGCTGGAATCCCATAACAAGAACCTGTCTCCAAAAAATTTTGGTTTTAATTTTTTATTATCTTGAGTTCATGTTGGGCTTACATAATGATCACATTCCTCTAGGGAGTCAATGTCCCCTTCCCCTCCCAGCCTCCAGCTCTTCCCATTTGCAAAAAAATCCACCTCCCTGCTACTGCCTACCTTTCACCTTGCTCTGTAACGTTCTTATCCTCGGTCTCTCCAGGAGAGAAACCGAGGGGCCTGGAGCTCTGTGTCCAGTTTGGCCCCCTGTCGTCCTTTGTCTTCACTTCTGCAGGGCCTCAAGTGGCACGGAGCCCTTCGCCTCAGCGAGGGGCCGAAGCCGGTGGCAGAGTCTGCAGCACCCCCCCGGCGGGCCTGATGTGCAGGGAACCAGGTTGGCCCAGGCCTGCCACGCTGCCTCCTTGCAGCCAGAGAGAAATCCAGCCCTTTTCTTTGTGGTGCTGGGGACTGCAGCTGCAGCCTTGGTCCCGAAAATACCAGAAATACTGTCTTCTGACACTAGCAGTAACCCACCCTGTGGATCCCCACTCCTAGGCCAGTAGGCTGAGGCAGGAAGACTTGAGAGTTTGAGGCCAGCCAGGGGTACATAGTAATTTGAAGACCAGCCTGGACTACATAGAGAGATGCTGTCTCAAAGAAAAGAAAAATGTTTTTATTTTGAGGAACAGTCTCAAGTCAATAAATTGCCTAGCTGAGCTCCAATTTTTGATCTTCCTGCCTCAGCCTCCCAAGTGATGTGAGCACAGGCGTACCCACCATGCTCAGCTCCCAATCCTAGTTTTTAGCAAATCTGATGGCAGCCAGGCCTGCAAACACCGCTGTGCTGGATGGCTCTCGGGTGGGAAGAGCGCAGGCCAGCGCCGGCCTGGTCCCCATGGAAGCAGAGTCACTCAGAGACGTCTCGGGAGGGCAGGAGCCCAGCGTGGCCACACAAGCAAAGCTGGGGCCCCTGCTGGGGTGGCGGCCAGCTCAGCTGGGGCGGCCTCCTCCGCCTCGCAGGCCCACACGGTACGCAGAGGGAAAAGATGTTTGTTATTAAATGATTAAACTTAGTTGAGCTCAGTTCAAAAAAATCTCTTTCCCTTGGCTTTTTTTTCCCCAGCCATAAAGAGTTGCAGGATGAGATTTATTTTCTTAAAGAGAAAACTTCTATCGACAGCTTCTGAAGTCAACACTGCGGACTTGGGACCTTAGATGACATCAAATAACGTACTGGGTGGGCCCTACCCGCTGCATCTGGATGATTAGGAATACCCATTTTTAAAAAAGAAACAAAAGCTGGGTGTGGTACCACATGCCTGTGATCCCAGCACTGGGGAGGCTGAGACAGGAGGATCAGATCACTGTGAGTTCAAGGCCAACCTGGGCTACATAGGGAGACCCTGTCTCAAAAATAAAGAAAAGAAGAGAAGAGAAGAGAAAAGAAAAGAGGGTAGCTATAAACACTTTCTTGTCCTTTTTTTTTTTTTTCCCAGTACCGGGAATGTAACTCACAAATTCACGTTTGCCAGGCAGGCGCTGTGCGGCTGAGCTAAACCCCAGCCCCTTTGTCCTTTTGACAATAACAATAAGAGGGCGTGGATTTGAGTCTCTGGTTAGTTTATTTTCTGAGGAGTAAAATTTTTAGTATCTACTCCCAAAATGATAAAACAGGAACATTTCATCCTAGGTTAGGAAAGTTTCCACAATTGTTCTGCCATTTGGTCTGAATCAGAGTGTCGAGTCGAGCTGTGAGGACTAAGTCCAGGACGACTGGAAAAATAAAAACAGTGAAAGGCGAACCCAGGACCAGAGAGGTGCTTCCAAGGAAGGAGAGAACGGAGGAGGCGACTGCAGCTCAGAACAACATGGGCTCCTGAGCTGGGAGCCTCTTTCTCTACTTTTTTCTTTTTCTTTTTATCTTTCTTTCCTTCCTTCCTTCCTTTCTTTTTAAAATTTTCTTTCTTTCTCTCTTCCTCTCTCTCTTTCTTTTTGACAGGGTTTTTCTATGTAGTTCAGGCTGGCCTTGAATTTACTATGTATCCCAGGCTGGCCTCAAAATTGTGGCAATCCTCCTGCCTCAGCCTCCAGCATGCTGGGATTACAGGTGTGCACCACCACTGCCTAGTTTAGGGTTCTGTTTTGTTTTGGATAAACAGTAACCCCGAGGCCAGAATAATGCTGGCCTACACCGCTGGCCTCCCAGTTGAACCTGAGGGCCATGTTTGGCCCCTTCAGGCGGGGTCACCACCCCTCCTGCAATCTAGGCTGGCCAGGCTGTGGGGAGTCACCGCCCAGTGACCCAGAAAAGCCAAGCCCGGTGGGATGTCCACGCTCTTGGGAGCCGCCTCTGCTCTGGGGCCTTGCAGACTCTGGGAGCCCGGCAAGGGACACAGGAGGTCTAGGGGTGGCGCCCACCCGTGACCACCCCGTCCTCCTCTCACCCCGACTCACCCTCTGCTCCCACCCCCAGGGCAGAAGCTCACCCTGCACCCCAACTCCTGACTGCCCAGATACCTGTTGCACCCCGAATCTCGGCTGCACCCGATACCTGCTGCACGCACATCCTGGGCTGCACCCTGTCTCCGGCCCGCACCCCATACTCTGCCGCCCGCGGTCCCCCGCCTCCCCGGCCCCTCCTTGCCCCTCCCCGTCCCCCCACCCGGGCCTGCGCGCTCGCGACGCCATGGGCAGTGGCAGCAGCCGGAGCTTCGGGGCGCAGAGGCGGCGGGGACCCCACAGCCCCGCGGCCC